AAAAAAAGTTCATAAATTCAGTGAGGGAGAATTCATTAAATCAGTGAGAATTGATAAAATCAGTGAGGGAGAATTGATAAAATCAGTGAGGGAATTCTTAAATTCAGGGAGTTATTTTAAAAAATCATAAAATCAGTGAGGGGGAATTCATAAAATCATAAGTGAGGGAGAATTCATAAAATCCATGAGGGAGAATTCATAAAATCCATGAGGGAGAATTCATAAATTCAGTGAGGGAGAATTCATGAAATCAGTGTGGGGGAATTCATAAAATCAGTGGGGGAATTCATAAATTCAGTGAAGGGGAATTTATAAAATCAGTGAGGGGGAATTCATAAAATCAGTGAGAATTGATAAAGTCAGTGAGGGAGAATTCATAAAATCAGTGAATTATATTAAAAAAAAACCATAAATTCAGTGAGGGAGAATTCATGAAATCAGTGAGGGAGAATTCATAAATTCAGTGAGGGGAAATTTATAAAATCAGTGAGAGTGAATTCATAAAATCATCACTGAGGGAGAATTCATAAAATCCATGAGGGGGAATTTATAAAATCATCAGTGAGGGGGAATTCATAAAATCCATGAGGGGGAATGCGTAAAATAATCCGTGAGGGGGAGTTCATAAAATCAGGGAATTACATTAAAAAAACCCTAATAAATTCAGTGAGGGAGAATTCATGAAATCAGTGAGGGAGAATTAATAAAATCAGTGCAGGCGAATTAATAAAATCAGTGAGGGGGAATTTATAAATTCAGTGAGAATTGATAAAATCAGTGGAGGAGAATTGATAAAATCAGTGAGGGAGAATTCATAAATTCAGTGAAGGGGAATTTATAAAATCAGTGAGGGGGAATTCAAAAAATCAGGGAATTACATTAAAAAAAACCTAATAAATTCAGCGAGGGAGAATTTATAAATTCAGTGAGGGAGAATTCATAAAATCAGTGAATTATTTAAAAAAACCCCAATCAATCAATAAAAATAAAAAATAAAAAAAAAATAAAAATAAAAAATACAAAAATAAAATTAAAAATAAAATTTTAAAAATCAAAATCAAAAATTAAAATCAATGATAGGGTGGTTTTGGTGTTGTTTTGGATTGTTTTGGGGGTATTTCTGGGATGGTTTTTTGGGGTATTTTTGGGGTGGTTTTGGGACGTTTTGGGGGTGTTTTGGGTGGTTTT